AAAGCATAACGCTCAAAGAAAACGAAATAAGCATCCAACTTTCTTTCTCTTTCAAATTTCATACGTACAAATATTTTTCCTAACACAAGGTTTTTGTAAAGATGATTTATATCAGCGAGCGCCTTCTGGTACGTCACCCACAAAGGGTCATAATTTTCAATAATTTTATCTGCCATAACTTGCGAAACAAGTCAGCGATTCTATAAAACTTGCTACATCTAAATGTTTCTCTAGACCAGAAACCTGAGGTTAATATGGAATTTATGATTTCGCATAAAATTTGATATAAATGCCTATAAATGAAAATGGAATACTTCGGTCGACTATATCTAATACTTCTCGCACATTTTAACACTTTCTACAAATTATCAAATATCTCATATAAAGTGCAGGAAGTAGACCCCGCACGTCGCAATATTTATATTATATTTATTTAGGTCCGATACGAAATGAACAATATTGGCCCATTCCTTTGGAACCTGCTCCATAGAGGGTCAACACTTTAAAGAATCATAGCTAAAGTCAAAATATATTTCAATAATCAAACTTTGACTGAGGGTATACATTGCCGTACAACAGTTATCGAAACTCATACACCACCATTAATTTAATTGCGCTTATGTTTTTCAATAGCTTTTCTTGAATATTTTTTTCACTCATTTCCAATCCAGCCCGAAACTACACGGTATCACAAACTAAATACCATTATCACTTAAATCCATGTGGAAAAAAATAGTAAGCTATACTTTTCCACATGAATTTAAGTGATAATGGTATTTAGTTTGTGTGCGTGTGGTTTCGGCAGCAAATAAAATAAAAAAAACTAACAGAGGCATTAAGTTATGCAGTATTTCCAAAATGCCGCCGAAATAAATAAACGGAAACCCGAATTTACACCAATTTTACGTGTTAGGTTTTTAGTTTATTCTTTCAACCTTAAAACAATGCTATACCCTTGGTCCACTTATAGATTTTGAATGGGTGATAAAAGATGCTGTCAAGCAATTCTAAATGCAACTGGGTTAAAGGTGGCGTATACGTTTGTATAATTGTTTCAAGTAACGTATACGCACCATGATGCAACAGGGTTTTACATCTAACTATTATTTTGCTTTTCATAACCTTTTAAATATTTGTTAACCTATCCCAGATGTTCGAACAAAACTCCTGCATTGAATATGGATGAATCTTAATCCTAAAGGAATTCAATACCTTGCCATTTTCTTGCTCACTTTGTTCGCTGTAGAAGATAATAGTCAATATTTTCCTCTGGCACTCAGAAGTTTGTAAGAAAAGGTTAAAAGGGAAACATAAAACAGAAATGGTTTTTGTTAAAAGACAACATAAACAATACGTAATAAGTATTGGTAGAAAGAAAGTTTTGTTTATCTGTGTGAGGCATTGAAAAGCAACACAAACTTGTGCAGTTTTCATAAATTACAACATTTTTGAGCGCAAGCTTTTAGCTTTTGGTTTACGATAATGTTTTGCATCGCGAGAAAGATGCACTTTCTGCATAGTTTAATAGTTTCGATTTATTTTGGGCATTGTGGCGTATACGTTATGGAAACAATCATATGCAATATGGAAAGGCTTGTATTTATATGAGGAACATTAATGTTATCAAATAATTTCTTAGTCATTTTAAATATTTAAAAATAAATAGGTGTCACGTATACACGACAACACAAACTTAAAACGTAAAATCAACCAACCATTTTTTAATATTTTAATAAAATGTAAATTCCCAAAACATTTTCATAGATTATTCTGAAATCTGTGTAATAATTATGCCTTAAATTTGAATTCAACGAAGCACCCTCAGTCTCAATTTTGCGGATCAATTCAAATTTTATATTCATAAATCCATTGTTTATACACAAATCAGTTTTCTATGCAATAAAATTTGACAAGGTATATTTCAGAAAATGCAGAGATGGGAATGTTTATTTGAGATGATCTTCATAACTTTATCATGATTGAACCCAAGGCTTTAAAATTTAAACTGTTTGTGTGGGTGTCACCAGAAGGGGTCATTTTAACTTTCATTAGTACACTTCATCTTATTTCGGTAGAATGGAAAAAAATTTACCATTTTTCGAGGAAGTACCAGAAAAAGTGGGCATTCAATTTTCCCCATTGTTAGAAGTATTTGTATGCTCGTAGTTAGGAAAAAATGGGAGATTAATTTTAAGTGGTACGGCTACTAAACTTTTTGATGCTTTGTGTACCCAAAGGAATGGACTAACATTTTATTTTTTCAGATTTGATACAAATATGGCAATATGCAAAGTTTGGACTACGATTTGGACTCCATTCGCTTTAAATGTTATTTATGTTTTTTTTTTTCTAAAGTTTTATCAGGAAGGTATTGGAAAAGGAGACCAATATTGACAATATTCTCAGAAAATCTAATATTGGCACAAAAGGTCAAAAAATTGTAACTGATTTCACATTTAATAAAAGCTATTCAAATTCAAAATTTTAAAATTTTTTTTGTGGGGGAGGTACAATACATTTGAGTTTTTTATACCTTCAGCGGGGTACAGCCAAAACATGCCTCATCGAAATAACGGTTTTAGACCTTAGGTCTCATTTGACCAAATATGTTTCAGGAGTTGATCTACGAGTGTCCGCCCGTCTGTCTTGCTAGCTGGCGCGCACCTTAATTCTCGAAGGGAGGGAGTATCCGATTTGGTCCAAAATTGGTACATCGTAATATAATTGTCAAAGTTAGATCGAGTTCAGAGGTGGGCAAAATCGGTCCACTCCTTCTGGTAACTCCTACACAATAGGACAAAATTGTCAAAGAAAATAATTTACCTCATAGAAAGTGAAAGGTTTATTCGATCGGCCAACTCCATATTGCACCTCCCCCACAAAGGGCCAAAATTACAAATAAGTATACCTCTTAAAAAATGTGAAATAAGAGTCCGATTGTCTTAAAATTTCACACAAACAAATTTTTGGTGACAAAAGATCTGGTTTGAAGATGGGATATATGGGTATACTCCTTTAGGTACTTCCCCCACAACGGGTCAACATTTTGAATAACTATGAAGCTCGTAAAACGCGAAATGTGCATCCGATTCTTTCCAAATTTCACACATCCCGATACTTCTACTTACGGAAGATCTGGTGTGAAGATTGGACATATCGGACAACTCTTTCTGGTACCTCCCCCACTAAGAGTCCGATTTTCTTCCAATTTCGCACATTTTAATATCTCCATTAACACAACCACTCTTTCTAGTGCCTTCCCTATAAAGATTCGAAATTTGGAATAACCATTAACCACATAAAACGCGAAATGAGCATTCGATTACATTCAAACTCGGCACATCCCAATACTTCTATCTACACAAGATGAGTTGTGAAAATGGATAATATTGACTACTCCTTCTGGTACCTCCCCAAAAATGGGTCAAAAATTTTAATAATTATACTCTCATAAAACGCGAACTTTTCGAAATATTATTGAATATGTCATATAAAGTGAAGCAAGGAATGGGTCTAAAATTCAAATCTGATGCATTTTAATATTTTTATCGGACTTATGTCAGTTATGAAATGGAAAATATTGGCCCACACCTTCGGAACCTCTCCTATGAATCATAACGCAAGTCAAAATGTACAGGGTAAGTTGAAAACAAAATGAGGTTTCTCGCTACATTTCCAGCGCACAATGGCCACCAAAATCTCCGAATACCAATCCGTTGGACTTTTGTGTCTTGAGTATTTTGGAAAGCAAGGTTGGAACTAAAAAATACCAAATTGTCGATCACCTCAAGCAAGTGCTTCGCCGGGAATGGGCCAAAATAACGTAGAGCAACATTCGGCCAACGTGTGACGGTTTCATTGGCCGTTTGAAGGCCATAATTCGTGCCAAAGGTGTCTAATTTGAACAAATCTAAACTTATTCTAATATTTCCGACATTTTTTGCTTTCACTCAATAAAATTTAAAAAAGAAGTGTATAAAATTGTGGCGTTTGATTTTGTTGTAGTTTTTTATCTCACCCTGTATATCGTGCTTGGTGTATAACATACATGAAATCGGCCGAAATATGTATAAATACCCAAACCTCAACCGATTTCAATAAAATTTGGCAATTTTCTTTGGTACTAGATTTCTCTCTGTCCGAATTTCATTGGAATCGGACATACATATCGCGTTGGGTGTATGAAATATATAAAATCGACCGAAAATATATATGGGAGCTATATCCAAATCTGAACCGATTTCAATATAATTTGACAAACTTATTTTTGTATCAAATTTAGTCACTCATGCCGAATTTCATTGGAATCCGAAATACTTATCATGTTTGGTGCATCAAATATGTGAAATCGGACGAAAATACATATGGAAGCTATACCCAAATCTGAACCGATTTTAATATAATTTGGCAAATTCATTTTTGTTTCAAATTCCGTTACGCATTCCAAATTTGGAGACTTTATCTGTAATCGATCAATAGATATGTGCATATAAAATCTAAAAATGATCAACATTAGTAAGCTATTCGAGGGTTTCAGTCCCAATTCTCAATTCATTGGAATTTTTTTCCAAGACCATTTAGAGATCTTAACCAAATTCTAATTGATAGGTCAAGGTTTTGGAATAACCTCCTTCTAAGAGTCCACCTAATCTAAGAGTTTTTTGTCCATAGAATGAATAGAATTTTCTTTTCAGGAGGTTTAGTTTCGTTAGGTTTAGGAGTTTTAGTCCTTATATCATCATGCTGTGTTTTTTTGGTTTCTAGTCAGAATATCTTGATAAAAATTGCTCCACAAGAAGCTAAGTCAAAGGCCAACAGAAAAATTCCTATTCACAAATATAGCAAATACCCTAAAACCCATTTAAATAAGCGGTAGTGTATAATGCACATTAGTACTTGGGAATCTCATTTGCATAATTTGAACATCCCACATTTCTTTTTAATAGTATCTTACCTTGTTGTCCCAATATAAAAATAATAATTGTATGAGTACGACTTACTTATTCGAATCAAATTGTTAGTTTTATTTATTTTTGTTTTCTTTTTTCAATTATTTTTATAATTCTTAATTAAGCACAGCCAATTTATTTCATATTAATCTATATATGTTTTTTTTTTTTTGCACACCACAATTCGATTCGAATGCAATGATTTCGTTGATGTTACTTCTTTTTTTTGGTGAAATTGTATTTGTTCTTGTATTTAACATTTATCTTTTATTTATTTATTTATTATAATCTATTTGTTTTTTGTTTGTTTTGTATTGTTTTACTTATTTTTTGTTTTTGTTTTCGTTTGTTTTGTTTTGTGTGTCTTCTTGTTTCTTACTTCTTTGTTTTTTTGGCATTTCAATAACATGTACATATGGCTTATCGACTAGTTTGTATTGTATATAATGTTTTATGTAGAACAAAGATCGTTCATTAAATGATTCCTTACACACACATCACTGGGTGTCCGCACATGGACTCAAATCTGGTCACCTGGAATTGAGAACGGGGGTAAAAAAACAAGAACGAAAGAAAAAGTGTTATTTTAAAAATGATAATATGCAGGTGTTATGATTTTATGTATTTAATAAAAACAGTATTTGTGTAAAAATAAAGTAACAGAGGAACAGATTCGAAAGACAAAATTTAAACCGAAAGACAATTTCAAATCGTTGGTCATAAACAAAAAATAATCCAAATAGATGTCAGGATACCGACCGACAGTAGCTATACTATGGTGGACTTTTTCTACTCTATCCTTTCTCTCTCTCTGTCTTACTCTGAATTCATATAATAAAATTTGGAGAATCTCCATTTTTACAAACCAGATTATTATTTTGATTCAGTTAAATTCCACCAGGTCGATGCCATAGAATCATTTTTGCACCCATTGCTATTGGTCTCCAAATGCTAATAATGACCAAAGGTTAGTTTAGCTTCCTTTTAAAGTTTTGAACAGTTCTTTCTTCCCGAAGTTTAAACTGCGCTGCTCTGCATGCTTTAAACTAAAAGCCTTCTAAAAATTTTGATGACAGGCACACAAGCAAGCATGATGTCACGAATTTTACCAAGTCCTTGCCCGCAGTTCGAGAAGCCATCTCTGAGACAGACTTTTAAGCTACTATCTCTGTCAAAAATCAGCAGAGTGGGAACCAGCAGAAGACCATCAAAGATTAACTCTGGCATACTTAGATCTCAAATCTGAGACCAAAGTAACAAAATGAAAAGAAACATCTACCAAATCTAGCAGTCTGTTCAGGTTCTAGCTCTGAGTTAACAAAGTCAATTACTACGATAGGCTGCAGCTATAGGACTTTCCTCTCTAGATCATGTAGATCCATTTTGACGCTTCCATGGGATAACTTTTACGTTGACGCCCAATCAGAAACTGTAACGAAATTATGCTACCTAACACATTGTCAGGGGTTCCTTGTGGGGTCGTTAGTGGTCCTAATTATCGAATGCCATCTCTGAGAAGAGTTCCCACTCTTTGGACCTGCCTGATAAGACGTAGAATTCTATATATGTACATGTCAAACACACTCTGAGATCTACAAGGCTTGGACTTTTTATATCGGAGTTCCACTAGCGACTGTCGGTGTCTAAAGGTGTCTTTGAATGTGGCGTGATTTACAAAATCAAATGCCCTTGATACGCCAAGTGTTAGACCATCTTTTTATGGCACGACCTTTATTGATTGAGTCCTCCTATGGCGTGTAGTTGACATGACTCTAGAGTTTTAGCTACTGAAGACAAAATGATATCGGCCGGAACAGTGTCAGAGAGAGGTGGAGGATTTTAGTAAGGTACTCCGCCTGGTTCATTCATCTACTTAAACATTACCATTTGAAGACATATGGTACGACTTACTGACGATTTAAAGAACCATCGAACCATCTTCGGATTTCTAGTTATATGTCCTATCAACATTTCTTCAGGAGTCGATATGATTTCACCGCTACCACAATTTCATTCAATGTTATAACTGTACATCGACTAATTCGCTGACCTCGAATGTCAGTTCTCTGATTTTAAGATCAGTTGGGTTGGACTGCATTCGATAGTTCCGTTCTTCGATTAAGACGTTTAGCTCTCTTGGGTTATTCGACCAGTATTTCTTTTTCGAATGCCTTCGGCTTTGATAATGTCTAAAATAAACCATCTTAAGGCGGATGTTCAACTGGTGCAAAATGTAGTTGAGACGAATTGTTTTCCCCAACGCCTCAACCGCAACGAGTAGCAAGGCCCCAAGATTGGAAGGATAGACGACTTAAACACTGCAACCCTAATGATCTGACGTAGGCTGCGTTTACCGATATAAGGTGGAATCTGAAGTATGGAAGGGAGTTCAAAAGAATGAGTTCTTATGAATTCAAACGATCGGTCCTAATTGACCAGACGTTTGCGGTCAATACAACTACAAGCTGATGCGGTTCAAAACCGCTGGAAAGGGAAATTGGAACAATAACAAACACCTAAATCATCTCTGAAATGGCTTTGACTACAAAAACCATCGGTCTTGAAGGCAAACCCAAAATCACGGCAGGGAAAGACTGCGTCTGTGGGTTTATCCATAATTACAGGAAGCAAAAATCTACAAGGCCACTGTTTTACTTTATGTCTCGTTCGATGGTTTTTGGGGCGAAGGGTAATACGGTGGGCTTAGTTGAATCCCTTTGAGAATGAAATCAATGTTTAAATCTCAATCCCCTGTGGAAAGGGGAGTAAATTGGAGGGGAAACCATAGCAAGGGGCCACTTAGTGGTCCTTCAACCGCCAAGCAGGCAGGGAGCCCATAGAAATCTAAAGGTGGTTTGCACCAGACCACAGACGCACATAGAAATGCATTCTGAAACAATTTCAGGGGTGCTCACCTACAAAAAAATTCCATGTAAAATATGCAAAAATGCGGAAAGATAGCCGGTGGTGGCCCAACCCTGCCTACGTCCCTGCACCGGACGGCGTGAATAGGATTCGGTCTTCAAAGGGCAACCAGCCAATTGCAAAAAGCTGGCAGGCCCAAAAAGGTTTGTACGGCTAGTAAGTCTAGAAGAAGGCCACAAAATGACTTTAGTACTAGCGTCGGTCTAGATACTACATGAGAAACTCAAACCACCATGTCGTATGATGTGGAGTTGAGAGGAGTCTTGCTAGCAATTGCGGTATCCTATTGGGCTACTAATGTGGCTGTAGCGACATAAATGAGTGAATTGATCACAATGTATTAGGAAACTCAGCTGATGTGAGCCAAAAAATCTAAACATTGAATTATCCGTGAAGTCATTTATATTAAACTACGCTTATTGAAGAATATTACTCCGGAAAAGTCCCACATACTGCCAAAACAATTATAATTCGGTTCGTTTATGGTTTAAAATATTGGACAAAGGTATGAAAAGTTCTAAAAGAAATTAAACCATTTCAGGAGCGTCTTTGTAATAAATATTCGTTATCCACACACCCTTGTTTCCTAGCCTTGAAACCTTAACCAATTACAATAATTACAACGGACCACAAAACCAAAAAGTGTTTTTAAAATATATCCAATATAGTTCGTTATTAGAAAATGTATTAATTAAAACACGTATATTAATGCGTAAATATTAAACAAATAAAAAAATAATAATAAATGTTAAAAATGTTGTTGTGTGTAGAACCATTGTGTTTATTTCGAATATAGTATAATGAGTGTTCATATAACATGATTAATCCGAACATAAGAATCCAACAACAAAAAATGTAAAACATCATTATAGAATTGTATATCCTTTACCTGGTTAAACACAAGTGAATCCTGAATATCCCATTTTATTGTGATGCAAGTGGATCCTTTTGTAGAATTATATGTGTATAATGCATGTTTTCTTGTTGTTGTTGTATAAAATCAGAAGCACTTGTTGTAGAACATAACATAACAGCATAAGAACGTTGTTGTTGTTGTTTTTGCTTTAATATTGCCAATATTGCTGAACCATCAATCAATTGATATACGAGTACTAGAACATCTAGGGGGGAAATCACTTGGACTGGATACACTATGATTTCAAATTCGATTGTATGCTGACGCTGACGACGACGAGGACGATGATGATGATGATGATTTCTTGTGGTTGCCAATAGTCTTGTCGTCTCCTCCATCGCCATCGCCATCCACATCTCACTCCTCTTTCTTTGTATCATCCACACCCACATCATCGCCATCACCACCTGTTTCTTCTTCATCTTCTTCCCATTCGTCTCTTCTGCCGCCATGTTTACAATATTGTACTTCATTTGTGCCAATGACAGCCGTATGGCATAACTGCTCCCGTTCCAACTTACGTGAAGTCTGTGGTACGCTATGCTCGAACACTACTTTTTCATTTCGCCATAGACTGACGACGACGATTCAGACTCAATAGATTTCGTTGTACTGGCGGCATTCTTGGCCGTTCGCTCTCGCTTTCGTTTGTTGTTCTTGAGGACATAGCCCGGATACATTTCCATGTGCAATTGACGCTCCCTCCGTGACTTCTCGTAGTAGACACTCTGTTCTTCGCGGGAAAGTTCGTGCCAGCGTCGACCCAAAATTTGATTAATTGCTGCCGACTCCTTTAGCGTGCACTCGGCCACTACCTTGGCACGCATCTCCTTCATGTACAACATGAAGGCGTTCAGCGGTTTCTTGATATGCGGTTTCTTCTCGTCGTTTCCTCGTTGACTATTTTTTGATGCCGGCTTGTTGTAGGGATTTTTCGAATACCGGTGATTGACTGTTGGCGCTTTGGTCTCCTGATCGTACTCCTCTTTCAGGCTGGGCGCCAACGGCAGATGATGGGGGCCAATCATGTTGGAAGGTGCTCGGTGGTGTACTGAATTCAAAATATTGGGTATGGAAAAACTAGATGGTGGTGAATATACAGAGGGCGGGTGCCACGAGCCGATTTGAGACAAGTCCGGTGGTCCCAACATGGGATGAGGATACTGGGTGGGGTGAAGGGAGTACATAGCTTGTTTCGTCAAGCCCATGGCTTTCGAATCCAATTGATAAGGCGGTATGCCACAGTGCGCGGGAGGGGGAAGACTATCGTATAAGGTAATTCGATTTGCTATTGTGGCCGGCAAGCCGCCGATTGTCGCATTCGGATATGAATATGGTGCCACCAAATAGCCCATATTGAACACCGACGGATCGTGGTCCATGCGATTCGGACCACACGGTGTTGAGATCTCTACACTTTTTTCCTCACTTTCGGTTAAGTCAATTAAACTGGACTTCTCTTCGAAGAGATTCTCCGATGATATGTTTTCATCTTCACGGCCACCTTCATCTTTGAAAATTTTCACCTCATCGGTACTGCCTAAATCATCGCTGGGCGAACTTGTGCGACGCATATTGGCCATGATGTGATTAACTTTTGGTTGTTGTTGTTGATTTTATGTGGAGTATATAAAATTTGATTTTCATATGATATTTTATTGTAATTTATAACATTAACATTGAGTATATAATGAACATTTAAACTAATATACATACACATAAATACACCATAAATAACATTGTTTATGTACGGGAAGTTACACTGCTCTGTAGAGTATTATTGAAAGAGGGGGGAAATTTTAAAAATAATTTCACATTTATTTTTACATAGCCAATCTTGGAAGGGGAAAGGAAACAATCATGCCAAACATTTGTTATAACAAAAAAATGAAATAAATTTATTATTTTTATTTGGGGAGATTATTTAGTAATATTTATTTAATACAGTTCAAATCGAATAAATTTTGTATGGGAAGTTGCGAGCAACTCCATTTCGATTTCAAAGAATCTCAAAATATAATAGAGTCATAGTTATAACTGTCAAAAATGTGCTCTAGAATATAATATCCATATGACATCTTCGATCCCAATATAAGTCTAGTGCCTCTTGAACTTTAAGATTTAATTATTGATGCCACCAGTACACCCGAATCAATTTTAGAGTATCAATAAATGCCTAGAAAAATGGTAGATTAACTGAATATCGAGGGGACTTTCAACATTCATAAAGGATATACTCGATAGCGGCATCAACCTATCACGTATATATTCGGGAGTTAGTCTGTATCTTCGGATTATAGACGAAATACCCAGCCATGCATGCTGACAAAATAGTTCTGGTGAATAATAAAATAATATTTAATATCTTAAACAGGGACAGTATCTTTTAAAAGGTCTGATCGAATTTATACTCGTGCGGATGGCCGTTGTAAATGACAAATTATGTCTCGATGCAGTTTTCAAAACTACAGGGTGAGATGAAAAAACTGCAACCAAATTTCTAAGCCACTCATCCGACAGCTATTAAAATTATTCCATTGACAGCTCATTATATTGTTTACAAGCGTACAAAAGCATTTTGGTGAGAATTTTAATCGCGATGGAATTCCAGCGTGATAGTGTGATATCTTTATATTTGGCTGGAAAACAACAAGTGGCTATCGTTAGAGCACTCCAGCATCTAAATGTGAATAAATCTCTTGTGTCTCGTACCATCGCTTGTTACCGTGTCCCGACGTCAAGGAAGTGGACGGAAGAAAACAGAAACATCAGCAGAAATGATTCGAAAAGTAAAGAAGACACTTAATCGAAACCCGCGTCGCAAATGGCTCGTGAGCTGAACACATCGCAATACGAAATATTGTTGCACGAAAAATGAGCTTACCCCGAGCCATTGAAATTCCAAAAACTGCAAGAACTTATACCGCAACGGAAAGAAAATAGACTCAAAAGAGTTAGAGTTGCTTCGTTTGGCCGAAAGTGGTGAACTGCCGAATTTGGTTTTCTCCGATGGGCCGTCATAATAGAAGATGGTCGCTCTCCGCTCGTATTAATTGACAGTGGCATCAGAATAAATGCCGAATATTATCGCGAAAATATTCTAGAGGGTGTATTAAAGACTTGGATATGCAAACATTTTGGCCGCAGACCTTGAACATTCCAACAGGACTCAGCACCATCGCACTCAGCACGCGCCACCCAAGAATGGTTACAAAATGAGGTTCCTCTATTCATTTCCAGCGCACAATGACCACCAAAATCTCCGTTTGAAGGCCATACTTCTTGCCAAAGGTGACCAATTCGAATTAATCTAAACTTATTCTAAAATTTGATGCTATTTCCGACATTTTTTGCTTTCATTCAATAAAATTTAAAATTTTTTATCTCACCTTGTATTTTAAGACTCATTTTTTTTCTTTAACTCAGGCTATCAATACTAAGGTCCACTCTCAATATGATTTGACTATTTTATTTGTTTCCAGAATTTTGGGTGTTATTCAATGTAATATTCCTAATTTTTGTCGATTGATTTCTTAATTTTGAATTGTAATACTGCCACAATTCCCTGGTGAAGTTAACCTATGTAATTAAAACTTACCTCACACATAAATAAAAACAAACAAGTTTTCTTTTATGATTAAATATTCATAATTATGTGTGTATATTAAATTCGTTGTAATCTAAGGATTAAAAATAAATTCTACAAGGCCATACATAAATAGTCATGTATGGCCATACTTCGTTAGGCTAGGCCTATAATTCTAAGAGTAAAAGTGTAAAAAGAGTAAAAGTGTTGTATTGATTACACACCCAATACCATTTAAAATAATGGGTTCGATTTAAATATAAATTAAAGTGTAACATGATCAGAGAACTGAGAGAAAGATCATTAGAAATCGAAAATATATATGTTCTACAACTAAGAAATTTTGTTTTTATAACCATAGGTTAAGATTGAATAAAAGTGAAGTAATGCATTACAACTTGGTTGTAATGCCTTGATTTTGGATTTAAAATGTTTTCTTTCTTTTTAAACTCACAGTTTTCTAATCGAGATAAATACTTTTTGTTTTGCCGAGATCATTTATAAGTTAAGATTAGTGGAAGAATAAAGAGGTTACAGCGGGTTCTAAAACGTCTAGATATAAGCAAGACGACGATTCCTACCTAATAAGTATATATTTTTGTTATTTTAAAATGTGTGTATATAAAATATATAATTTATATATCGTTGCATTGAAGACTGAATGTTTTTCGTTTTTGTTATCCTAATCTATTGTTTCTATTATTGAAAATGTATTTGATTAGTCCAATCACTGCCGATATGTTGGATATTTCACTCAAAATTGCTTGGTTGTGTTTTTATTTATTTGGCACTTAAACAGACACAGATCCAGTCAAGGTCCAGCCAAAAACGGAACCCTGTGCAACAATATCGCCGTTATCGTCGTGTAAAAACCCATCGGTTATTATTTTCGGAAATACATCAGCTGCCATTACTATGTGCACCTCATCGGAGACATAGAAGTCGGGATCGGCTAGCACCAAGCCATCAAATGGTGATGATATCTTTAAATCCCGGGGATATGGACGCAACGGCAATACATCCGTCATCAGGGCCTGGACATCGAGTATCCAATTGACATTTTGCACAGTACCCAATTGTATGGCGCACATACTCTTCTCATCGTCGACTTTTGTTGTCGCTAGTTTACACTGCTTTACAATGGTTTCCGATATTGTCGTATATGGCTGTGATGGATTTATGAGGGCTCGCACTATACGCCTTATGCCGTTGTAAATCAATGCCAAACGCACTGTTGGTATTATAACTTGCCTGCGAAATATGTTGGCCGTTGCCGGAGTTAAGAGGGTTGCCTTTGGCTTTTCAATGGGTTTCTCAAGGGGCGTTTTAATTTCACCCATATGATGCAATGAGCTATGATGACGTTTGTGACACTTAATACATGTCTTCACCGAATTACACAACGCAATGGTATGCGATACAGCCAAACAATTGACACAATATTGTAGCTTTCGCACAAACTCCAAACGTTCGTGGGTGCTCAGCTCTCGGTACTTATCACATGTGGCCAAACGGTGATCTTTCTTGCATATCATACATGGCCATCGGCGCATTTGTTTCTTTGAAACACCAGTCAAATTTCTATCACGGCTCCTACGTTCGTATAGCTCGGGTGAACTGCTGCGATCCCGTTGTTGGGAGTCACGATCGTTACTTCTGCGCGATGACCTTGCCGGCGAGTAGTGTATCAAGGCACTGTGCCGATTCGAAACTGGAAATGCAAGTTAATGGGTGTACGAAAATACTTAATTGGTGTGTTAATAGGGTAAAAAGTTTAATTTGTTTTTTGTCCACATTTCGGGACCAAGAGGGTGGTGGTAGCATTTTTCAATGTTTATATATAATTTCTATTTACTTATTTATTTTAAGAGATATAAGAATAAAATCTAAGTAGTTATGGTAAAGGTTTCATTTTTGTTTACAAATTACAGGGTTTATCAAATTAAAGAGTACTTTAGTCAAAATCATCTAATTTGTTATGTAATTTCCCATTTGTTTGGAATAGTTTGGTATCGTATTTTCTCAAAATCATTGAATCACCTGGACTGGGTAATTTTTCCGAATATGTGTAGTATTCCCTTCAGCTTCCTAGAAAGTATATCTGGATGCAGTCTACGCCACATATTAAGCTTAAAATTCAAATTTTGTTTCATAAGAAAATGATTATTTGTGCTTCATGTGGATTACAATTTGACCACTTATGCCTCAAAACAAAGGAAAAAGCAGAGAGCTGTTAAATTCGGGAGGAAACAAAGGATTATATAAAGGGTGAGATGAAAAACTGCAACCAACTTCAGACTGCTGTCATTTCTAAGCCACTCGTCCGACAGCTGTTAAAATTATTCCGGTGACTGCTCATTATATTCTTTACAAGCGTACAAAAGCATTCGTGATGGAATTCAAGCGTGATAGTGTGATTTCTTTATATTTGACAGGAAAACCACAAATGGCTATCGTTAGAGCACTCTAGCATTTAAATGTGAATAAACCTTTTGTGTCTCGTTTTATCGCTCGTTACCGTGATGCTGGTGGTGTAGGCGGACGTAAAGGAAGTGGACGGAAGAAAACAGCAACAGTGGACGGAAGAAAATGGCCACCAAAATCTCCGGATACCAATCCGTTGGACTATTGTGTCTGGAGTATTTTGGAAAGCAAGGTTGGCACTAAAAAATACCAAAAATCTCAAATACCAAATCTGAAGTTAGGAATTTGCCGGGAATGGGCCAAAATACCACAGAGCAATATTCGGGTAGCGTGTGACGGTTTCATTAGCCGTTTGAAGGCCTTAACTCGCGCCAAAGGTGACCAATTCGAACAAATCTAAACTTATTCTAAAATGAGATGCTATTTCAGACAATTTTGTTTTCATTCAATAAAATTTAAAAAAAAAATTTAAAAACTATGGCGTTTTTGTTACAGTTTTGTCATCTCACCCTGTAAACGATCAGGGTATTTTTTTAATTATATCTTTAATGGAAGGTCCTATATATTTCAACGATATTTTGATGATTTAATTGAATATTCCACATTTAATATTTTCATAAAGGGTTTTCAATAGAGTTGTCTGCATTTTATGCCCACGGATTCAGAGGGGTAACAAACATTGTAGTATAGCATCGATATAGTAGTTAGGTGGATTCATTGCTTCAAGGAACATGAGAACATTTTCATTTATTTCTCAATATGTAGGTTAAGACGAACCCAACGGCACCTATTAAAAGTTGTAACTACTGAGCATCCATTAACCCGGATATTAAGACGTCAATCGAGAACCCATTAAGGTTTTAAATCTCCTTGATCATATGGCATAGTATTGACTAGGTCAAATAACGCCTGTCTTGTCTTAAAAATAAGGTATAGTATTAAATCTGGAGAACCAAGCCACATATTTTTAAATACTACGGATCGAATGTCCTGTACTTGCTGTCAAAGGAAATACGGTTCGAACTGATTTACACGAGATCACCGACTTCATGTAGAAACTACTCCAAAAAAAAAAAATATTTTTGGATTGGCGTACTGCAATACAGAAATTTTCAAATGTTGCGACAACAACGCAGTGTCTTTGCTGGTCGGGTCCTAGAAATGCATGAAAATGATCCGGTTATCGAAAAATAATCTTCGCTAGGAGAGCAAGTAAAATTTGAACATCTGGGTCTCGGAAAACACAAGAGTTATTGTTGAGAAGCCTCTACATCCTCGAGAGATTACTGATGATTTTTAATGGTCGGAGTTAGATGATATTGATCTGGACAACGATTAACAGTAACTTGCCACACAAGCAACGAATTGTTTGCTCTTGTACGGGAAAAGTTTCCGGACTGCATTATCTCTTGAAGAGTTCATCACAATTGGACACCTTGTGAAATAAAAGATCTAAACCAGCACATGAGAATAACGAGGACTTTGGTTATGCAATATTTCATGAAATAGATGGGGAGCTCGTGGTGAAAATTTTTTTACATTATTTTCCACTATTAACCGCATTTCTTCCTCTGTTTATAAAATTAACAACCGATCATAAATCATTTGGAATTTTTCTAAAAATAATACCAAAAGCGCTGCAAAAATATTTCGTTCGCGGAAAAGCGGTATGATCATATTGGAAATGGGACGTTGGGGAGCATGCCAAATAGTCCTATTGCTACCTACTCCTGCAGCAAGGGTGTATGCTGCGGCGTTCTTGCCCAACATGGCCTACGGATGTCTGTCTTGGTAACTTGCGCTTGAAAGCAAAACACTGCTGACCAAACTAACTGCTGTGCAAAGGGACCTGTAGAACCGAAGCTCTTAGAAATTCTCCCCCAATATATCCTGGGTCTCTGTATCTTTATGCTTAGGCCTGTCTCAATACGACTTGGACGAAGGTCTCAGTTGAAAACCAGTTGAAAGGTACCTTAAGGAATCTTACCAGGTAGGCTTAAAGATGCTGGGGAGATAGTGGGGAATTATTAGACTAGACAAACAATTATATTGATTGGCAGATGATATATTGAGCTCAGTAAGTTTTTGGAGGTATTGGCAGCCTCGACCGGTATTGACACTGTACTGTTCAGGAGCATTGATCTCCTCTGGCTTTTGAGAAGAAAGCGCATTGCAATATTGAATTAAACATTAAATGCCTTCGAAGAAACATAAAAATTGCATTTTGGGTCATATGGGGTCTATAAAAAAATGGCCCTATGGTGAATATTTTTTATCAGAAGTAAATCTAGCAGCTGATTTTGTTGGAAATTGTGAGCGAAGCAGAAGAATAGGAAAAACAAGACGTAAAGCCATATCGGTTCTATAGCAAAAAGTGGACCTGCATTGAATTTTTTTGCCACTAGTTGAACTGTCTTATGAAAGCCCGATCATATGAAAATTACCGAAAATCAGATGGTATCATTATATGGGGTCTAAATCAAAAAGTAGATCTACATTGAATGTTTTTTTGCGAGGGGGAAATCCTTTCACTGAGAACCCGAAATGTCAAATTACAATTGATGTGATTAGGGTCATAACCTTTAAAATACCGAAAATTGGGTTAAGAAATATCGAAATTGGGTTAAATTGGGGCTATGCATAGCCATTGACTGATTTCAATACCAAGCATCCTAGAGAGCGAGTTCCCTCGTGAAAATACTTTTTCGAATTTAAAATGAAAAGTAATAATTTCGTAGGTCGCTCGGGCATAAGTCTGCCACCCCGTGTACTTCCATATACAAAACATTAATTTATGGGCAGAAGCATAATTTAACCATACAGTTATGGTAAGGTCTGACTTCGATGGAGATTTTAGAATTTGGATTGCTTTTGAGAAATGTCCCTGAACAAAATGTTATGCAATAGAATGTAAAAACTACTTAAGGCTTAACCGGTCCAAGCCGAAATCCGAATTAACTAAGACTTCAAGGGTATCTATACCAGAGCAGACCTACTTCACGTCGACATTTCTCGTATTTTCTGTAAATTTTTAGAACATAAACGGGCAAAATAACAATAATCCAAGTTAAGTTTTATGCTGATCATGAAGACAAATTTGACATATTTCAAATGGATGAAAAGACAGTCAATATGGTGGTCGAGTCTTAAAGTAGGCAGCTCAGCAATAATTAACATAATATCTATGGTCTATTCGAAAAACTATTCATCAAATCATAGATATAGTCTGAGTATTCAATATGTATGTAGTAAACATGTGTATCGCATCTATAAAATCTGTTTAATGCACATCTATTCCATTTTTTTAATGTGTTGTATTCTCTATTTGCCGGTATCTTCCACTTGGGTTTGTGTTACCAACATTGCTAGCCTTTACTTATCACTTATTAAAGTTTTTAATTAAATTCATTAGAAAAAAATTAAAATCTGAATAAAGAGGAGATGCTTAGAAACGGCTTGAAGAGTGATAGAAGAAAAGATGAGAAAAAAAAAACGACTCTAATATACCAAATATTTACGATAAGCACTAGGCAAACAATTGTAGGCGCGGTGGATGGATTATTTTAAATATGTATATCATGGGGTGCATTCCGAGAGAAAAGATGCTCGATGATGATGGTTACTTTCAACAGTAGAATGAATGTTTTGGTAAACTAACACTAGCACATGTCGCAATTTATTCCCGTAGTTTAATGCATTGGGTGGGTGGGTTGTTGATGGGTGGCTGGCTGGCTGACTGACTGGCAGTGGTTTATTGGGTGGGTGGGTTGACTGGTTGGTTGGTTGGTTGATTGGTGGATTGGTAAATGGGTGGCAAGCAATGTGGCGTGGTGGTGGTGGCGGCACTGTGAGATAAGGGTGACCGACCAACATTGTTTTCCTTTTTTAATTAACGACGAGGGAACACGGCGCATTTGTTTCAGGGCTGATTGATAATTTATATATGCAGAGTTTTTCCCGCTGTAAATGACCTCCAGTAGGGTGGGTGGGCGCCAGGACATGTAATGTGGGTATGCAATGTTTACAATTCCTTTAAAGAGTTGTTGAAAACACTTGTTTTCGCACGAATGAACACAGTTTTGTTTCACAAATTTGCTTTCTTACTTTTGCAGATTAAATTAATTTTGGTTTTGGCACACTATTTATTCAATCACTAGATTTGGTTTTGTTTAATTTTAGGTTATAAATGTATGGCCACAGGACCATATTATTTTTCTTTATTTTTCACACATACCTTCCTCCCATTGGCTCATATTCTCTTTTTGCTTCTTGGCCTGGGCTTGTTTCAATATTCACAACCGACAACCGCACATTAATTGCACTTAACTCCGTACATAATTTATCAAAAGTCCATCAATTTCGAAATTATTGTATTTTTTGGTTAGTCGCATTTAATCAACTAAAAAATATCCTGTATCTGGGGAACGCCAGCTAGGAAACAATAGAGCACTTTCCTTACACCCCCACCCAGAAAAGCGCACATCCAATGCAACTCAACACTATGCATGTGTACATCATCGCTCGCAGAGGCGCAAGTAAGTACAAGTACAGACGTTGATAAAAAGTCATCGCACACAGGAATAAAGGCGCGCAGGCAGACGACGACGACGGGTGTACGTACGAAACGAATGGTGGATAGGCAGAGCTAGCTAGGCAAGCAAGCAATCAGGCAGGCAGGCAGGAACGAGATACGGGAACTTTTTGATATAATACAGAGAGGAGAACTGAACATGCATGCAACTTTTTCTTGGGATATATTGTATTTCTTTTTGGACTTGGAGGGGTAAACTTTGGGCTCAACGCGCTTACCTCTGGAATAACTCATTGGCTTCACCGAAATTTGTTTATTTTCCGCAGAATAATTGATTGTTATTAAATCCATTAACGAGTCCTTTTTTATTCCATAATTACTTCGAACTTCGATTGTTTTCAACTAGGGATATAGAAGTCGACTTTCGACTGACTGACTAGCTACAACGAATAGCATGAGAGAAGGAGAATCAAAGAAAACAAATTGTCATGCACCGTAAATGGTTGACGTATCAAGGCAGGTGGCAAGACTGAAGGCATATGAACAGTTTTATCGACACTTTTCCGTCTGTTTTGACAATTGGATTTGACATTTCGCATCATTTGCAGCAGAAGCACGACTATTTGGCCAAGCAGCAGTGCAGTAGGTTTAATCGATTTTCACAAAAATGGGTGATATGTCCAAAGCTGAAAAAGATTTCTTGCTCAGGAAACATGAGCAGACAATGAAATTGCGTGCTGAATACCTTAAGAATTCAACAAATCCCTTCCGTCATGCCACAGGTGAAGGCGGCACCATCGTAAGTTGACGACTTGTTATGTCATATGTTTATGTTATAAAAAGAATCGAGCCGAGGGAAGCTCTTGGGGAAGATTTGGATAATGTTGTTGTATTTTCCCTATTTTTTCAGTTTGATGCCGGTTTGGCCCGCTACCAAGCCATGAGGGTCAGCAATTTTGAACATTTCAAGCCCACTGGTCATGCATTCCGTGTTGGAATGGGTGTTGTGGTACTGCCAATCATTCTGTACGCTTGGGCCATGAAGAAAGAGCGCGACGGAAGAGAGCAACAATATCGCAATGGAGAAGTAGCCTACAAGGATCGTCTATTCAAATTCATTTAAGAAGCTAATTTTTTGTTGATATTGAAGTGTGAAGCCATCCGAGTAAATAAACAAAAAACTAAGTGCATTAGTGTAATTATGTATTTCTAAAGGAAATTTTAAGAATGTGTTTGCTTTTAACAATTTATTTTTCCTCTAATTGCTTGTCACGGGCTATAACAAAATCCTCGAATTTGATCATATAGGTGGTACCCTTATGCCAATGGGCTGTCACTTTACAAGGCTAAAATAAATATAAACAAAATTTAAAATAAATTATATTAAGTTTTATGGTTTTTTTCTTACAAAGCCGCAATGTGTTAAAACTGCTTCCACTATTCCAGCTGTGAAATTTGCACAATTCAGTGTCCCCTTATCCTTTGGCACACTAATATATGTGTTTACCAAGGGTTGTTTTTCAATAATATAATAGGTCCTCTCATCGTCATTGGCATGTTCCAATTTTTCCGCTTCTTTGCCAAACAGATTCTTCCACACCGTTGTCTTGACAAACAAAAGCATTTGTGTCAGCTTGGTTTCACGTTTCGAACTGCGTTCCCTCATAAAATAGAGATCAATGACTCGGGTGCCGACATCTTGGCCCATTTCATGGAGGCTATACAATTATTTAAACCCATTATGGACCAATAGTTTTGGAAACGTAAATGTTGCTTACCGATTTTGTAGTTCCGGCACAGTATACACTTTACTTTGGCAATATTGGACAATTTCACTGAACAACAAAGCCACAATACTTTCCAATTAGAACACAGAAGCAAGAAAATAAATGTAAAAAGAAAAAAATATTTGTATTTTTTTTTTTATTTTCTTGACGGGAATTCTTAATGGATAAACAAATTGATGGTGGTCACTTATTCTGATTACCTTTGAGAGACTTCCGATTTTCCTTTGGATAGCGGTCTATCGAGAATATTTGTCCTCCTCATTGAGGACATTTTCAATGCCTCTAACTTCTCCATACCGAATACCAATTAGATTTGCCTGATGGAATTGAAGGAGTTCTGTTGTTCAAGGCGTTCAAGTTCAATAATGGAGGTAACTATTCCGGAATGTCTACGACTCAGAAATACACAACAAATGACACCCTTTGTTGTGCGAATCAAAGAAGAGGCATAATCGACGAATATTCAATTTGTTACGAATGAAGGAAATGACAACAACGCATAACAGCTGATTAGGTGGTATGGCAATCGGTCGAATTTGTTAATCAATCTGAATATATTTGTAGTTAGAGGAAAAAACATGGACAAAAGTGATTTTTAATATGTATTTGGCCGCTTATGAAAACCCCACGTAGAAATACGCTTTGCCATCAAATCGAGCCTTTCAACAAGAGTCAAAATTTATCAACTTAAACGTACCAGGTAATTAAATTATTGCATTAGTTTTTATTGGGAAATGTGCCCCGTAATATGTATGTTTGAAAATGTGTAAAATTTGTCAGATAGAAAAATGAATTAACAGGAGATAGGTTCGAAAAGTCACATTTACTTTTTCTTTTTGGGCCGTTTTTACACATTTTTGGTTTAAGGCCATATTGTTCTTTGCTGTGCTATACAAAAAACGTAGACGGTGAATCTTTTAGGGCCTTCTGACATTACAATCCATGCAGGTTATACCTTGTCTTTAATATACAATGGATCCTTTTATGGAACAAACGGAAAGGCAGCTTGACATCAAAGGAATTAAGAACAAGTGAAAAAGCAGCGAAGTTTGGCTGAACATTTAATACCCTCCACCATTTGGAAGGCATTTAACAAATTTTAAAAGATTCCGAAAAAATCACTAAAATGAAAACTTCCATATAATTATAACCTCTACCATACTATGGAGGGTATATTCATTTTGTCATTCCGTTTGTAACTCATCGAAATAATGATCTTAGACCCAACAAAGTATATATATTCTTGATCAGCGTAAAATTCTAAGTCGATTTATCGAGTCCGTCTGTCTGTTTGTCTGTCTTTCTGTCTGTTGTAATCACGCTAACTTTCGAACGAATTGAGATAGAAGGATAAAATTTTGCACACATGTTTATTTTTCCAGTAGGCAGTTTAAGTTCGTAAATGGGCCATGTAGGTCCACGTTTTTATATAGCCCCCATATAACGGTACCTCCCGATATTCGGTATTTGGATGATTTTAGCGACATTATTCACCGGAATTGATTCAAATTAGGTATTTGAAGTTCGAAATGGATACTACAGCCTATGACGGAAAATTGTCTGTGCAGGTCTACGTCTTTGTGTAGCCCCCATATAACGGTACGTCCCAATATTCGGTATTTTGATGATTTTAGCGTCATTATTCTCCGGAATTGTTTCAAATTTGATATTAGAAGTTCCAAAAGGATAGTACAGCCTAAGATAGAAAAATTACTGTCCAGGTCCACGTCTTCGTATAGCCCCCATATAACGTTACCTTCCGATGTTCGGTATTTTGATGATTTTAGCGATATTATTCACCGGAATTATTTCAAATTTGGTATTTGAAGTTCGTAATGGATACTACAGCCTATGACAGAAAATTATCTGTGCAGGTCTACGTCTTCGTGTAGCCCCCATATATCAGTACCTCCCTATATTCGGTATTTTGACGAGTTAAAGTACAATACCCACCGATATTGTTTGAGATTTCGTATTTAGCTACATTATTCACCGTATATTTCAAGTTATCGAATTTGAATATGGTAACGGCTTATGACAAACAATACCTTTGTAGGTCCACGTCGTATAGACCCCAATAAAACGGCTATATTCCGAAAGATAGCACGATTTCAACGGACGGACAAAAAGACGTAAATCATTAAGTCGACTTAGAATTTTATGCTGATAGTATTTTTATACCAAAACGTGCATCATCGAAATAACGGTTTTAGAACTTAGGTCTCTTTGGACCAAATCCGTTTCAGGACATTTGGGGTCGGTCTAGCGCTGTCCGTCCATGTGTCTGTCTGGCTGTTGTGCACGATAACTCTCGAAGAGAGTACCCGATTTGGTCCAATATTGGTACATTAAACTTAGGTCGAGTTCGGAGGTGGGTCAAAGGGTCACAAAGGCCACAAAGGGTCAAAATTTTGAATAATAATAACTCTTAGAAAATGTGATGTAAGAGTCCGATTGTCTTTAAATTACACACATCACAATATTTTTATTTATCCAAGGTCGAAGATGGAACATATCGGTCTTCTCCTTCTGGTTCCTCCCCTACTAAGGGTCAAAAATTTGAACATCTATGAAGCTCATAAAACGTGAAATTAACATCCGATTCCATTCAGATTTGGCACATCTCAATATTTTTATCAATACAAGATCTGTTATAAAAAAGGTAGAGACCTGACTGTTCCTTCTAGCACCTCCCTCACAAAAGGTCACATTTTTCTCTTTATATTTCACACATCCGGTTCTCTTTATATTTCACACATCCTTAACACAAGATCTGCTGTGAAGATGGGATATATCGGCCTACTCCTTCTAGTACCTCCTCCACAAATAGCCATGAAGCTCATAAAACGCGAAATTAATATCCGATTCCATTCAGACTTGGTACATCTCAATATTTCCGTCAGCACAAGAACTATTATAAAGATGGTAGAGATCGAACCATTCCTTCTGGTAGCTCCCTCACACAGGATTCAAGATTTTGAATAACAAAAAGCTCAAAAAAAGCGAAATAAACATCCAACTCTTTTCAAACTTCACACCTACAAACATATTTGCTAATACATGATCTGTTGTGAAGATGATACCTCACCCACAAAGGGTCACAATTTTCAGTACTCTTATCTGGCATAAATAGCGAAACAAGTCAGTGATTCTTTATAACTTTCTATATCTTTGTAAATATTTCTCTCAACCAGAAACCTGAGATGAATAAGGAATTTATGATTTCGCATAAGAATGGATGTACAGGGTGAGTTAAAAAAAAACTGCAAAAAAGTTAAATGCCATAATTTTATTTATTATTTTTTTTTAAATTTTATTGAATGAAAAAAAATGTCGGAAATAGGATCAAATTTTAGAATAAGTTTAGATTTGTTCGAATTGGTCACATTTGGCACGAATTATGGCCTTCAAACGGGCAATGAAACCGTCACACCCTACCCGAATGTAGCTCTGCCGTAATTTGGCCCACTCCCGGCGAAGCGCTTGCTTGAAGTGATCGACGCTTGGGTATTTTTTAGTGCCAATCTTGCTTACCAAAATACTCGAGACGCAATAGTCCAATGGATTGGTATCCGGAGATTTTGGTGGTCATTGTGCGCTGGAAATGAAGCGAGGAACCTCATTTTGTAACCATTCTTGGGTGGCGCGTGCTGATTGCGATGGTCCTGAGTCCTGTTGGAATGGCCAAGGTCTGCGGCCAAAATGTTTGCATGCCCAAGGCTTTAATACACTCTTCAGAATATTTTTGCGATAATATTCGGCATTTATTCTGATGCCACGGTCGATTAATACGAGCGGAGGTCGACCATCGGCTGGCCCACACCAACCGAAGGTGCACATTTTCAGCTGACCACTTTGACAAGTAAACACGATCATTTTGTTTGTTTACAAACTGCTGGACAACGAATGTTTTCTCATCGGAGAAAACCAAATTCGGCAGTTCAGCACATTCGGCCAAGCAACGACGAAGCAACTCTTTAGGTCTTTTGAGTCTATTTTCTTTCTGTTGCGGTGTAAGTTCTTGCAATTTTTTAGAATTTCAATGGCTTTACCCCGAGGTCATTTTTCAATATTTGCCGAATGGAATATCACGATATATTCAGCTCACGAGCCATTTTTCGGCCACTGCGACGCGATTTCGATCAAGTCGCTTCCTTACTTTTCGAACCATTTCTGCTGATGTTGCTGTTTTCTTTCGTTCACTTCTTTGACGTCGGGTAACGCTACCAGTATCACGGTAACAAGCGGTGGTACGAGACACAAAAGATTTATTCACATTTAAATGCTGGAGTGCTCCAACGATAGCCACTTGTGGTTTTCCAGCCAAATACAGAGAAATCACACTATCACGCTTGAATTCTATCACGAATAACTTTTTTCTGCAAAATGCTCACCAAAATGCTTTTGTACGCTTGTAAACAATATAATGAACTGTCACTGGAATAATTTTAACAGCTGCCGGACGAGCGGCTTAGAAATGACAGCAGTCTGAAGTTGGTTGCAGTTTTTCCATCTCATCCTGTGCAGGTCTACGTCTTCGTATAGCCCCTAAATAAGGGTACCCCCCGAAATTCGGTATTTTTATGGTTTGTGCGACATTATTCACCGGAATTGTAACAAATTTCGTATTTAAAGTTAGTAATGGGTACTACAGGCTATGACAACAAAAAATCGTGTGTAGGTTCACGTTTTCGTATGTCCCCCATCCCGATATTCGGTATTTTGATGATTTTAACGACATTATTTACCGGAATTGTTTCGAATTTGGTATTTGAAGTTCGTAATGGGTACTACGGCCTATGACAAAAAATTTCGTAATCATGAACACGTCTTCGTATAGTCTTCATACAACAGTTTTCATTTAAGTGATAGTTTCCGAAAGTTTTTTGAAAATGGTGGAGGATATTGAAAGTTCGTCCCGGCCGAAGTTAGTTGCTTTTTTACTTGTTTAGTTTAAAAATATTTCAAGCTCTTCAAAGTATGCTAACAATATGTAAAAAGACACTTTACATATGACTCTAACATCATGTGTAAACCTTAAGATTGCGACAAATGTTTTATTTTAAAATAGTATATAATTTATTGTCTTTTTTTGGTGCAACTATAATTAACTTTTAATGTATAAATAACAAAAATGAAAATCTTTGAAAACATAACAAAACATATGGCAACGCCAAAACTTTTAAATCACTCTGCTATGGCTAATAACAATATACACAAAATGGTACAAAATAGTACTTTGTTCTACAAAATTAATTCACGTTAACACATTTTGTTTGTTCCTACTTAATGGCAAATGTCTATGAAGTGAAGGATAAGGTTTGAATGTACAAAAACACCACGTAAAGTAGTCTTGGTTATCATCTCATAATCCGGCTGTGCCAGTTTTTAAAGCTTCAAATTGTTGCTGTGTTATTGGGCGATAGATACCATCGCTATTGAGGTAGTAGAGCGGGTCCTTGAATTTCTCTATATTGAATCCTTCCAACATGAGGTCACGTTTCTTCATTTTAAAGGTGGAGGTGCGAGGTATTTGATCCATGACACGAACAAATAATGGCCGGGCATAGGTGGGCAAGCTGGCCCGTATGCCCACGGATAAATGTTGGAAATCGATTTTACGATCTGGATCTTCAATGGCCGCCATGCCGGCCTTACCTTCCACATGGGGTATCTGTAAGACAAAGAAAAAATATTCAAGTTTGTGGAAAATAAATGGTGCCCAAGTGTGCTTACCTCCACCCCATACACCACACAGTCTTGTAGACCTATCACACTTGTTATAATACCCTCAACCTCCTGCGTTGAGACATTTTCACCACGCCAACGGAATGTATCACCCGTGCGATCTTTGAAATAGTAATAATTCAGTAGATCACCAACCAACATATCACCAGAATTGAAGAAGACATCTCCCTTGCGGAAAACATTGTGTAGCAGTTTCTTTTCCGATGCTCCCCGATCGGCATAGCCGTTATAGGTGGTAAGGGCATTGCGGGCATCAATTCTACCAATTAGAAGACCAGTTTCTCCTGGATTACAACGTATACAGAAACCTTTGGCATTGCGTATGGGCTCTCCCGTTTCTTCGTCTACGCGTATGACTTGGAGGTGAGTTAAATGGCGAATTGGCATGGGGATGAAACCCACTGCTCCCACCTGATTGCTAACATTTGCTGAAAGTACAATTACAACATAAGGAGTAGTAAATCAAACAAGTTTCCCTTAAGTCATTCATAGAGTCATTATTTCTTCAATTATCTACAGCAATATCATAGCATATTTTGAGGCGCTCACACAATCCATTAACTAAAAGGGAAGCTTTATGTGTTATTTAAATTTTGAATATATTATATAATGTTCTGTATATATTAAATTCATATTTTTGGGAGCGCTCAAAAGTATGCTATAAAAATGCTAATTATTTAAAAATGTGAACAAATCATATACCACTTCAATATGAAGTGTAAACAGCAATTCCATGCTACTCTTACCCAAATTCGAATTTCCCTCTGTGGAACCATAGAGTTCCGCAATATTTGGTATATTAAAGCGTGTGGTGAACTGCGACCATATTTGTTCCCTCAAACCATTGCCATACATAAGACGCAAATTGTGTTGCGTGTCCTCTGGCTTCGATGGTGCCGTCAACAGGTATCTACACAATTCTCCAATATACTGGGCACATGTGGCCTTATATTTGATACAATCCTTCCAAAATTGAGATACGGAAAATTTCTTACGCAAAGCTATGGTACTGCCGTGGATGAGAGCCATACCCACCCCGACCACACCGCCAGCAGTGTGGTAAAGTGGCAAGGCATCGTAGATAATGTCATTTGGTGTGATGGCAACCATGTGATAGGTTGCCGTGCTCATGAAGAGATATCTGAAAGGGAGAACATAGTTGGATTTTTAAGAGAAATCATTGAAAATTGTGAAAATAAAATATAATAAGAAGGAAGTGGAGATTAGTTAAGCATTTTTTTAAATTAAAAATTTTGAGGAGCGTCTAAAAGTATGCTATAAAATTCTACAGACAATTATGGATAAAATAATTTTAAATATCACTCTAATAGCCTTTTCCACCTTTACCTTTTCATAGCAGGTTCTAAGGTGCTTCCCAAGAAAAAAAAAAAAACTGAAAATAAACCCTAGAACCCAAGAGTGACATCCATATCAAATTTCAGGATTTCAGCTCTATCCACTCATCCAATGCCAAATTTATTGCATTCAGTACTTTTCGAACAACAGAAACAGAATACAAATATGGTACCATTTAGTACAATTATAGTAGGAATATACAAAATCAGCTCCTTCTCTCGACCTCAGACACTAAAAGTGACGCCCAAATTTCAGGATATCAGATCTATTCCTTAGCCCAATACTAAATTTAGTACATTTCGTACAATTATGGTACACATTTCCAAATCCACCTCCATATTTCAATTTCAGATACCAGCAGTGACCTTAATATCAAATTCAGGGATTTCTGTAATTTTCCCCATTACCAAATTTAGTACCATTTACTACAATTATAGTACGAATATCTAAAACCAGCTCCTTCTCCCTACCACAGAAACCAAAAGTGACTTCAAATTTCAGGATTTCAGCCTTATTTCTTTCACTCAATACCAAATTTAGTACTATTAAGTACTTTTCGTAAAATTATAGTACACATTTTCAAAACCACCTTCATATCTCAACTCCATATACCAACACAGACCTCAATATTAAATTTGAGGATTCCAACTCTATCCTTTCACCCAATATAGTATTTTTCGTACAAATATTGGACGCATTTACAAAACACCACTAAATCTCGAACACTTTTACCATCCGTAATCTAAATATCAAATTTCAGAATTTTATTTCTATCCCTTTAACTGAGACCAAATTTAGTACCATTTAGTACTTTTCGTACAAATATAGCACACATTTCCGGAACCACCTCCACATTTCAGATTTCAAGCACTTTATGTTTAGCCAATACCAAAAAATACCTTAACATTTCATATGAGGGCCTAGAGAATATCTTCTATTCATCAAAGATTGTGTTCAGTTTTTATTCGCCTAAAAGTATGCTATAAAAATGGCCTTATAGGGTTTTCTCCCCTTAGAAGATGAATAGAATGTCTTCTATCAAAAGAAGACCAGGAAAGGAATTCTATAAAAAAGAAGTCCTGAAAAAGCTATTTTATCCATAGAAGACTGGGATGAGGTCTTCTATTCATGGAAGATCATGTGGAGGTCTCTCATAAAATAAACCGAGAAAAAACCTTCAACTCATAGAAGATCGGGAGAAAATCTTATATCCATAGAAGATTGGAGAGAAAATGACTTCGAGTCATAGAAACAGGAAAGATTTTTTTGTAGAAGACCCAGGGATTACAATACATAGAAGGGTTTAATCTGTAGAGGACCGACAGATGGTCTTCTTGCCATAAAAGACTTAAGAAGTGTCTTCCAACCATGATAGCTATCTATGAAGCTATTCTCTCACTGCAACTTCTTGAAAATCCCTTTTATTCTAAGAGAATTTGGAGAAGGTATTCTACCCACAAAATACTTCGTAAATGGGTCTTTCTCAGAAGACCTACAGTAGCCTATAAAAGGTATTTTCAAAGCTGAATTATATCTTCTATCTGTTGCTTGGGAAAAAGGTCTTTGATTAATTGAAAGCAGGATAGGGGTCTCTGTTTATAGAAGGTGGAGTTTAAAAATTCAGGGTTTTATTTGTATAGGACTGAGAGATGGCCTTCTAGCCATAGAAGAGTTATGAAGTGTTTCCCATCAATAAAAGACAGGAAAAGATGTTTATCCATTGAAGACTGGAAGAAGTTATTTCCTCACTGAAACTTTTTGAAATCTGGAGACGGTATTCTACCCACAGATAACCTCGAAAATATGTCTTTCTCAGAAGACCTGAAGAAGCCTATATAAGACATGTCTAAACCCAAATTATATCTTTTGTTTGTAGTTGCAGAACTCATGAATATATCCAATTTATAAAAGACATACATATATTCCTCCCCGTTGGACTTAGACCCCTTACATATGATTCGTATAAACCCACATACCTTTGGTTTGTTATAACAGCGGCTTTGGGCAGACCTGTCGTTCCCGATGTATAAATGTACAAGAGTTTATCCTTTGGACTACATTCATTGATGTAAATGCAAAGATTTTCAGGTTTCTGATATTTTAAATCTCCCGTCAGATCGACAGCACCTGAAATTATTACAAAACAACAAATTACATATTACAATCATATATCTCCTCTCCCCAACTTACCTTTCATCAAGACCAAATTATCATTGGTCCTCTGTTCCTCATCACTAAACTGATATATGGGCAGCGTGCGAAGACCTTCGCTATCAATGACTTCCTGCAAAACTTCCACCAACTCGGTCCCGACAATGATTGCCTTGGCCTCGGCTACTTTTAGGGAATGTATCAGCGTATCTCTTCTCAAATTGGAATTTATTAAGGCAGTGACCACACCAATTTTTGACAAACCCAACCATATGGCCGGGTATTCGGGCCGTCCCTCCATCAACAGGGCGACACAGTCACCCTTTCGCAATCCCTTGTCCTTAAAATAACCGCCAATTTGATTGCTGTAATCCTCAACATCCTGGAACGTCATGCGGCGATCATTGATAAGGAAACAAGCCTTCTCCGGATGTTTTCGACAGTTCTCCTGGAATATTCTGGCTATTGACCATTTCTTCCATTCCATTAACAATATGAAAATGTTCATTTTTGCAAAACGATAGCCAGCCCTGAGGGGAAATTAGAAACGATGGATTATATGTTGTAAGTTTTCAAGAAACTCATAGGTGCAACTTACACTGTATCCCGTGGTACTGTATTCACTAAAGCATAGACAAATGTTGGATTCCTTAACATCAGCGCCAGTATTGCGCCTAAGCCCAAACTTAATTTGGCATTGTCCTTGATTAGCAGGAACACCAGGAAACCTCCAAGAGCTGTGAAAAACCGAGTGGCATTTTTCTGTTTGAAATTTAATTCTAGGAGTAAATTCATGGCTGTCGGTTGTGGTTGTTTCTGGAAATATAGAAAGGAAGGGGAAAAATAAATAAATAAACAAGAAAAAACGCATTGAGCTCATGAGAATTTCGAGAAGTTACAAACGGAATGACAAAGCTAATATGTCGTCCATAGTATGGCGGAGGATATAAACATGGTTTCGAGTGAAAATTAGAAACCTTTAAAATCAAGGGGGGTTATCTAAGATCAATGGTTACATTAAAGATGCTTTAAAATAAAATGTGGGTAAAAGTTGTCTCTCCGATCTAATTAAAGTTCATCAAGGATCGGTCGAAACGTCTAAAGCTGCTGCATTAAAATTAGACTGGAGTGTCACTATAAATTAGAACTTGGTTTTGCTACAACGTGACCCAAGGTCCGTGATAAACAATTCGATGAGCATACTTCTAGGCGCATAAAATACTGATAAAGAAAAATATGAAGTTATAGGTGTGTACGATAACATTGTGTAACACAAAATTTAATTTTAGGAAAAAATCCAGCTGATTATGGAAGTAGAGGTCTATTTAGGTTATTTTGTGATCTAAACTTTCAAAACCCCGATAAGCGTGTCTTTTATTTTGAGCTCTACTTTCATAACCTGCTACATATTTCCTGTAACGCAAGTTAATATATATTTTAACTGTCGATACTTCGTCAACGAAAAATTTTATATTATCACTTTAGATTCGTTCCAACAGTTCGCGGTAGGTCTGTTAAGTACTCAAAATATACAATTTCTTCAATTTTACAACATTTTTGAATCCAACCTTTATATAACGTAATAAATTTTTAGGTTTTCTCGATTTTTCAATTAGACTGGAGGGGAAAGAAAAATCTTTCATTTTGAAGTTTAACGACGAGGATAATAAAACCATTGCCCAATTTTCCTGTCCAAAGCTATTTCAACGTCTCCATATGTGAACCCCAGAAACCTACAGTGACCTCAATATCAACATTCAGAATTCCAGCTTCAATACAAAATTTGGAGCATTTAGTATGCATACCCAATATATCCATCCTCGACACCCGAGTGATCCAAAATTAGTACCATTTCGAACAATTACAGTTCGCATTAGCAAAATCACCACTAGATCTCAACACCAGATACCAACAGAGACCTCAGTATCTTTCAATATTCAAGCTCTATATATTCTCTCAATACCAAATTTAGTAACATTTAGTGCTTTTCGTATAATTTTAGTACCTATTTGCAAAACCGTTCCATATATCAATCCTAGACGCCGAAAGTTACCGTAATATAAAATTTCACAGATTCAACTCAATCCCTTTATCCAATACCCAATTTAGTATCACTTAGTACTTTTCGAGCACTGATAGTACGCATATCCAAAACCAGCTCCATCTCTCAACCACAGACACTAACAGTGACATACATACGAAATTTCAGCATTCTATCCTTTCCATTAATACCGAATTTAGTGCTATTTAGAACTTTTCGCCAAATTATAGTACGCTTTTACAAAACCATCAGATCTCAACACCAGATACAAACAGAGACCCCAATGGCAAATTGTGGGATTCTAGTTCTATACATTCACTCAATATCAAATTTAAATACTATTTAGTATTTTTTGTACAATTATAATACACATTTCCAAAACAACCTCCATATCTCAATCCCACATACAAACAGTGACCTCAGCACAAAATTTCAAAATTTTAGCCTATCCCTTCACCCAATACCAAATTTAGTACCATTTAGTATTTTTGTACAGATGTATGACGCATTTCCAAACCACCGCAAATCACAAACACTGATGCCATCAGTAATATAAAAATCAAGTTTCAGAATTGTATCTCTATTCTTTCACCCATTGTACCAAATATTGTACCATTCAGTACTTTTCGTACAATTATAGTACACATTTCTGAAACCATCTCAATATATCCATATCTTATCCACTGAAACCAGTAGTGAAATCTACATCCAATTTCCAGATTTCAGATTTTTTCCTTCCTTTTCCTACACATTTCCAACAACACCTCCATTTCTCAATCTCAGATACTAACAGAGCCCTCAATATCAAATTTCAGGATTCCATCTCTATCCCTTCAATCAATACCAAATTTTGTACTATTTAGTACTATTCCTACAATTATAGTACATATTTGTTAAACCACCTCCATATGTTCAGACTATACATGAACAGCGACCCAAATACAAACTTTTAACCACTATTCAACTTTGGAATTTACAATCACTATACAATTTTGGAACACATTCCAAACCCTCCATATTTCAATCCTAGATACCAAGAGACAGACCTCAATATCACATTTGAGGATTCCAGCCCTATCCCTTCTCCCAATACCAAATTTAGTACTTTTCGTACAAATATTGGACCACCTCCATAACTTATCGACCGACACCAGTAGTAACATCTATATCAAATTTGAGGATTTCAGAACTTTTCCTTCACCTAATATCAAATTGAATACTTTTTGGGTACTTTTCGTTGAATTGCAGTGCACATTTCCAAAACCAACTTTATGTCTCAATCGCATATATCAATCGGAATTCCAGTACCACTCCTTCTCCCAATACCAAATATAGTACCATTTACTACTTTACGTGCAATTATAGTTCCCATTTCCGAAACCCCTTTACATTCATTTAGCTACAAATGATACTAATACCAAATTACAGATTTTAGGCACTATATGTTCACCCAATACCGAATTGCACCATATATAGTACTATTTATTAATATTCGTGCACATTTCCAAAATCACATCTTTAGCACAACCAAAGCTCCAACAGGGATCCCAATATAAAATTTCAAAATTCCTGCCATTTTAGATCTTTTCGTAACCTTAAAGTTTTAATTTCCAAAAATCATTTGGTACATCTTTCCTCTACTCAATAGCTGATACTCCTTACAGATTTCAGAGCGATTTCAATTCTTCAAAACATTAAATTTTTGTTTTTTTTTTTTTTACGAATTCCAAGTACGAATATACGGATATATATCCTGGACTACATCACTGACTCTCATTACAAATTTTAGAATTTTTCAATTATTCAATTAAATTCTTCAAAGAATTCAATTTTTAGTATATTTAAGTACTTTTCGTACCCTTTTTAGTACGAATTCCAAGTACGAACAATAACGCTCAAACGAAACGGGTGAAGCTAGAATCTTGAAATTTTGCACGAGGGTCAGTCATGTTGCGTTGGGTAGGGTGTGCATATGAGGCTGTGACGGTATACATCTGTTTCGCAAAACTAATTTATTAATTAAAAGTGTTTCAAAAATTCTGAAATTTTGCGGAGAGCCCGACGGAATAATCAAAAAGCCACCGCTTTTATTCACAATTTTTTATAGCGCCATTTTCCAACAATATTTTCCTGTTGACGGTCAATCCCGATAAAGTCGGTTGTAAATTTTTATAGGGCTATTATCAATTTTTACACATTATCATAATATGTTTCCATACATGTACGTATATACATATTTACACATATACATGTACGCTGTTAATGCCCATGATTCAGAGACCTGCAACTAAACACGATTTACTTAGCACTGTTAAACTTTGGACTGGAAAATTACTCCAATAATCAGTCATTGTCTATGAGAACGCGGGCTTCCATATTGATATTTTTACACGCCGACACACAAAACGAATGCGTAAAAAAAAACAAAAAAAAAAAAATAATTATGTTAACAACTGATAATATAAATGAATGAAAAGCAAATCATTTGTGGATGGCATGACATCTGTTCCAGTGGGTTTTTAAAGGCATTGGGTTGTATAAATGGGGTATCTATATGTATATAGATACCGTTATCTGTATAAAAAGTTTTTAGATCAATAATCGGGAAATTCAAAATTAATTTAATTATTTCTTTGCAAATACTACTCTAAGTAGTATTCGCAAAAGACAATAGATCGAAAAATGTATTGTGAATATATACTCTAAATCAGAGCATCGATTTGCTCGTTTTCACTCGGGAGCGATACTTGCTCGCGAGATTACTCTTCACTCTTTTGTTTTGTGTGGGGAAGCACTCCCAGGTCACTACTGTTTGAAAAATTAGAGTGGAATTAAAATCGCTCGAAATTGAGTAAGAATTCTGCTCTAAAAGTGAAATCGAATGGAAACAACATTTTGTTTGCTGATTTGTGTGTGCGAACTTATATAACCTCACCTCCCGATATTTGGTATTTTGATGATTTTAGCGACATTATTCACCGGAATTGTTTAAAATTTAGTATTTGAAGTTCGTAATGGATACTACAGCCTAAGGCAGAAAATTGTGTGTGAAGGTCCACGCATTCGTATAGCCCCACATAACGGCACCTTCCGATATTCGGTATTTTGATGAGTTTAGCGACATTATTCACCGGAATTGTTTCAAATTTGGTATATGAAGTTCGATATGGATACTACACCCTAAGACAGAAAATTATCTGTGCAGGTACACGCCCCCATATAACTTCGTTTAGCCCCCATATAACGGTACCTCACGATAATCGGTATTTTGATGATTTTAGCGCCATTATACACCGGAATTGTTTTAAATTTGGCATTTGAAGTTCGTAATGGATACTACAGCCTACGACAGAAAATTGTCCGTGCAGGTCCACGCCCCCATATAACGGTACCTCCCGATATTCGATATTTTGATGATTTTAGCTAAATTATTTACCGATTTTTTCAAGTTTCACATATGAATATTGTAATTGCTTATGACAAAAGTAGCCTATACAGGTCCAGTGCGTCGTATAGACTATAATATAATGGGTACATTCGGCATTTTTAAGATTTTGACAGAATTTTTAACGGATTTTTTTTTGAAATTTGCCAAATTCGTTCCAATTGGTGGAGGGTATTCAAAGTTCTGACCGGCCGAATTTATAGTTTTTTTACTTGTTTTTACTCCCAGGAGTGCCCCTCTTTTTGCGAGAGAGTTTCACACTTTACTCGAACTCGAGTGAGTTTTTTTTCGGAGGACATAAGGCTGAGAGCTTAAAAAGAGAGTTGTTCT